TAAAAAGAAGGGAATACTGTCATATGTGACCTCATGTACAAACATGGGGGACTCTGTGATAAAAGAAATAAGCCCGACACAGTGTGATAAATGTCCATGATATCACTTATAGGCAGATTCTGAAAAGGCAGAAGCAGAATCAGGGGCTAAGAGAGAGAAAATGGAGATATGGTTCCAGTTGTAAGGCAAGTAAGAAATCTGCCAGGCAGCAAATCCTATGTGCTCAGTACACATACATAAATTAATTGTGTAAGGGAACACACAGCATTTTTCACAATGTAGCACAACTTCAAATTATATTCCTTTAAATGCATACTTTTTTTGAGGCAGGTGGGGGATCAACCATACCTCGATAAAGCTGAGGAGAAAATCACTACTCTTAAAAAAGAAGTCTTTATAACCAGGCATGGTGATGCATGCTCATAATCCCAGTGACCAGGAGGACTGCAAGTTCTAGACTAGACTCAACAATTTAGTGAGGCATTGTCTCAAAATAAAAATAAAATTAAAAAGGACTTGGGTATGTACCTTAGTGGTAAAGTGCCCCTCAGTTCAATCCCTAGTACCAAAAAATAAAAATAAAAAGCCTTTATATCAGCAGTTTATTTCCTTAGCCATTTTAGATTTTCTGACTCACTCTTTGAAATCCTGAACCAGGTCAAATCTCTTTCTTACATGTCCTATCTCTGCACATTCTGGGCTTAGAGGACATGCTCTGTGAGGAGTCCTGCAGTGGTGTGTCTGCTCACATTGACAGGCTATGGTAGAAAGAGGAACCAGATGTCCTCAGACACTGAGGGCACCATATGTCCAGTCTGCCAGTGAGAACTGTTCATGAGAGAATATAACAAAATGAGAGGCAGGAACTGGGGCCTCACTGGAACCAGCACCCTTATGGTTCCAGTGAGATGCAACCAGAGCTGAGCCAGTGGCTGCTGGGAGGACCAAAGCCTGTAATTCACTGTTCCTTTTTTTTAAGGAGTGGGGGTACTGGGGATTAAACTCAGGGGCACTGGACCACTGAGCTACATCCCCAGCCCTACTTGTATTTTATTTTAGTGACAGGGTTTCACTGAGTTGCTTAGGGCCTTGCTAAATTGCTGAGTCTGGCTTTGAATTCACCATCCTCCCGTCTCAGCCTCTGGAGCTGCTAGGGTTACGGGTGTGCACCACCACACCCGGCATTCACTGTTCTTGAGCGACACTGATGATATGGCCAACCTGAAGAGAAGTGAATGCCAGCGGGCACAGTGGCCCACGCCTGTCATCCCAGCAGCTGGGAGGCAGATGCAGGAAGATCACAAGTTCAAAACCAGCCTCAACAAAAGAAAGGTGCTAAGCAACTCAGTGAGATCCTGTCACTAAATAAAATACAAAATAGGACTGGGATGTAGCTCAGTGGGCAAGTTCCCCTGAGGTCAATCCCTGGTACTCACATCACCCCCCCAAAAAGAGAAGTGAAGGCCACATGTGCAAGACAGCTGAAGATGTCAAGAACAGATGAAGATGGCCACTCTCAAACATCTATTTCATTTGAAGTTGTTTCATTTAGGAAACTGAAATATGGTGATGTCCCAAAGATAGCATCTCTCTGCACACGTCTCTGGCTTGTGATGATGAGGGGCTCTGAGGAGAGACATGAGCGACGCTCACCAGCCAGGGCCAACATCCTCAGGCACCACTCCTCCCCACCTTCCTCAGGGAAGCCTCTGGCATGCCCACAATGAGCTGAGGCCAACAGGAGCTCCATGACTAGGGGACTCTGGGCTCCTTGGGCTGGGGGACAGAGAGCTGACCCATGGTCACAGGCCTATTTGCCGGCCTGAGGTGGATGTCATGCCTGAGCCACGTGAACACCCATATGGCTGGGCCACAATACCCAGGCATTTGGTCAAGTGCAACTCTGGAGGTTCCCGAGACAGGATTCTGGAGGTCTGGATGAGACTGACACTTAAACTCGTAGACTCTGAGGAAAGCACATGATGCCCCACAGTGTGGGGTGGGCCTCCTCCAGTCACTGGAGGACAGGAACAGGGCAGAGCCCAGCCTTCTTTGGGAAAGAAGAGACCAGCAAAGGCCCTAGGATTCAAGTGAGACTCTCCCTGGGCCTCCAGAAGACTTTGTATCTGTTGTTTTCTGGAGAGCCCCAAATAAGAAAATGGGGAAAAAACTAAGAAAATATTTGCTCTATGCACTTTGCTATCTCCCTGTTTTGGGGGGTGAGCATGGCACATGCTCATCCTCCACAGCACTGTCTGATTAAAGGAATCTCTCTGGCTTGGTGAGTGGGGATGACATGATTGCAGTCCAACCACCCATGATGGGCACAGACTTATGCCCAAACCCTCTCCAGGTATGAATCTGTATGGCAAAGGCTGCCACATCCAAGAGTGGGATGAGGGAAACTGAGCACTCTGCAGTCCCTTCATCTACAGGGGACACATCCTCAGACCCCCAGGGTACTCCTAAAGCTGTGGGTAGTACCAAACGGTAGAGGTTGGATTGTGGGCCACCGTGCCTGGATGAAAAAGCACTTCATGGCTTCTCTTTGGCATACCTGAACTGCCAGCATCACTACCCCTGCACTTTGGGACCTTCATTAAGTAAAACAAACGTTACTCAAACACAAGCAGGTCTGATAACCAAGACTGCTACTAGGAACTAAGAGTAGGATAGTGCGAATATGCTGAATGGGTGATTCACACTCTGGGTGGGACAGGGCAGAAAGGTGTGAGATTTCATCATGCTACTCAGCAGAGTACACAAGTTACAATTTATGAACTATTTTGAGAATTTTACATTCAAAATCTTTGGACTATATTTGACAGTGGGTAACAAACTGAGGACATAAAACCATAGATAAGGAGCACTACTGTTGTTACAAAAATCAGATTTCAAAACTAATTTTTGAAAAATACACAGAAATTTTTAAAAAGTCTGAACTGATGATAAAAAAAGAATATTTTCAAGGACTCACCTTTAGGGAGAATACCTGGGGAACTGGTCAAAGATGGCAAACTGAAAACACAAAACATCCAAAAGGATGAAGGAAAGAGACAACAGCACAAGAATAAGGAAATGGGGGACAGGCTGGCTAGACAGATCAGGGAGGTGAACTGCAAGCCATTCACAGGGTTAGGCTGAAAAAACAACCTCGCTGCTGAAAAGGAAGTGGGGCCTGGAAAGCAGCAGTAGAATGGGGCCAGTGACAGCCCAGGTGGGAGGCAGAACTGGGGAAGCACAATGACACTGGGCCCCACCTGGGCACCCACTGTGAGACACTCTGTTTGGGACGATAAGAGAACTGGGTCCACCATTCCCAGACACAGCCACCTGGGTGGACTCTGATAGGGAGAAGAAAGCAATATAGTCCACACTGGGCAGGACCCAAGAGGGCTCAGATGTTAGGTTCCAGGTGCAGCCAAGCCCTGGTAGCCCATCCACACAGGGATCATGGGACACAGATGCTTCTGAGGAACACATAGAGAAAAAAATAACTCAGAGAAAGAACAAATAGGAGAAATCAGACATTAAAAAAAAAAAAAAAAAGCAAAAAAGACAACTGAAACTGCTAAGATAGGATCTGGGATATAATAGGTAGGAACAATATTGCAAAACAAAAATTCCTAGAAATTAAAATACAGAGCCAGGTGTAGTGGCGCATACTTATAATCCCCCAGAGACTCATAAGGCTAAGCCATGAGGATTGCAATTCGAGGCCAGCCCAGTATTTCAGTCAGTTTTTTTTGCTGCTGTGACTAAAGGATCCAACCAGAACAATTGTTAAAGGGGAAAAGTTTATTTTAAAGTGTCTTACAGTTTCAGAGGTCTCAGTCCACAGAAGATCAGCTCCATTCCTTGGGGATCAAGGTGAAGCTGACCATCATGGCCAAAGAATGTGGCAGAAAGCAGCAGCTCCCATGGTGATCACAAAGCAGAGAGAAAGAATCCACTCCCCAGATACAAAATATATACCCAAAATCACGTGCCCAGTGCCCCACCTCCTTCAGCCACTCCCACCACCTCAGTTAACACCCAGCTAATCCCCACTGGGGGTTAACTCACTGATTGGGTTAAGACCTCACTACCCAGTCATTTCTCCTCTGAACTTTCTTGCATTGTCTCATGTGAGCTTCTGGGGGACATCTCACATCCAAACCATGACCTCAGTGACTTAGCGAGGCCTAAGCAACTTAGTGAGGCCCTATATTAAAATAGAAAATAGAAAGGGCTGAAAATATGGCTCAGTGGTAAAGTGTCTCTGAATTCAATCCCTAGTACCAAAAAGAAAGAAAAACAAAAAGAAAAGAAATTAAAATACAAAACTAGAAGAGGAAGAGGGAAAAAGAAATATAAAGTAGAATGAAAACAAAAGCACAAAGCAGAATAAAGAGGAAACATATAGAAACTAGTAAGAGGACAAACACCCACAGAGCGGGAGTGACACAGGCACCTGTGTTTAAAAACAGGGTGAGAAATTACCAGAGACAATAGGAAAATGCCACACCCTGGGGATGAACTGTAAGCTCAATGAGAGACTAGGTAAAACACATTTTAAAAAAGAGACCATGACATATCACAACACAGATCACAGCAGGAAAAGACACAGACCTCCCTGCGCCTCAGTGACCTGAGGTCGGAAGAGCAACACACCTGTGTGCAGTCGTAGAGGATGCTGGCCTCACTGCACCTGTGACCCAAGACACCAGGACATGCATGGTCTCCACACAGGAGCCAGCTTGCACTGTAGGGACAGGAGTCACTCACACAGTCATCAGAGGACATTCTCCTCACTGTACCTCTTCGAACTGCTAGGGCCCCGAGGTGACCCAAGGAAACCTTATTCAGAGCACAGCCTCTCAACACGTGCAGCTCTCTGGGATGTGCCCTGTACCAGGTACACAGCCCCACCTCCAGATGCTGGGTGTATCACATAACTGGACTGCAGTAGGGATGTGCCCTCCTCACGGGGGAGACAGAGCAGTCTCGGGTTCACCTACCTATCGGCCACATCCAGGTCTGAGTCCATCTTCTCCAGGTCCTTCATGACACTATCCAGTTGCTCACCCTGGTGGTGAAGGACCTTTGCTGTATCTTCCAGACGCCTCTGGGAACTTGCCATCAGTCCTGTCAACTCCTGCCCCCTGGTTGTGGGGGAAGGCGTCACCTCAGCAGCAGCACCTGGCGGGGACAAGAGCAGTTCCCTCCAGAAGTGCTCGATGATGTTGAAGACAGCATTGCGGCTGGGACGCAAGGAGCCAAACCAGTGCTTGAGGTGGCCCTTCTCCAGGACAGTGATGGCACTGAAGATAAAGTGTGATGCTTCCTTCCTGATCTCAACAATGCTGGAAAGGGGCAAGCCCACGAGAACCTCTCCAGCTCTGTCTGTTGTGAACTTGAGTGAGCAAGGCAGCAAGGACAGTTTCCCAGGGACCCATCGCTTCTCAAGATCCAAGTAGTAGGAGCAGGGCCAGGAGTAGATGCAAACATCACCGCTCATCTGTCCTGGGTCTACTGTGCCACACCAAGGCCACAATGTCTGCTCTGAGGGAGAAGAAACATATTCAGTGGGCAGGTGAGGCTAGGAATGGACGAAACACCCTTAGACTAGGGACCTGAGGAAACAACTGGTAGGAGCAGCCTGAAAGCATCACCAGGGTAAAGCCAAAGCCTCCCTGTGGCAAGCAAAGGAAGCAAAGATGGGGTAGAGAGGGATGAGAGGAGAGCCAGGGCTGCCAGGCCCAGACCTGTATGTATCTCCCCTGTCACCCCAACCCGAGTCCCTCTGCCCCATCCCACCTGGGCAAGCCCTGAGAAGGACAACCACCAGAGGCATGCCCCAGGGCCTGGGCCTCACTCCTTGGGCCAGACAGACATGCCATTATGGCAATGATGTCCTCATCATAGCACACTCAAGTGAGATTCACACAGGGTCCCCTTGAAACCTCCGCACACACATTTATTTATTTTTGGTACTGTAGATGAAATCCAGGGGTGCTCTACTGCTAAGCTACACTCATCCCTTTTTATTTTTAGAGAAGATCTTGTTAAGAGCAAACTTGTAATCCTCCTGCCTCAGGCCCCAAGTAGATGGGATTACAGATGTGTCACATGCCTAGGTTTACTTGTATTTAATCGCAGAGTAAACAATGCTGTAGACAAACATTCCAGTCTTGGACTCTAATTTCACAGTGTTCTGCATAACTATGGAGTCAGGTTCACGTGTACATGTTTGTGACACACATAACTTTATGAGCCACAAGCAGTGAAGGTGCACCATCTGCATTTTTATGTTTACATTTACACTTATCAAGACACTCTGACATGCCATGGACGACAGGTTTGAATCAACCTTCATAAAGCACGTGGTTCAGCTTGCTCATTGCACAGATACAGAATATAAGCGAAGAAAGGATGAGGACTTATACAAGGTTCTACCGTGAGTTTAGAGCCCTGGCCTGGCAGGAGCCAGGCCTAGTAATGTGAGTAAAAGTCCTCTTCCAAGTAGATAGTGGTCAACATCAATGTGGTATCTTTTCTCCCTCTCCCTTCCGCTCTCCCTGTCTCACTCTCTCACTCTCCCCACCGCCCTGTCTGAATCTCTGTCTCTCACTGTCTTTCTTACTCTGTCTCTCCCTCTATCTCTAGATGTATCTTTGCCTGTTTTACTTTTTCTCGGCACCTCACTGTCCCCCTGTGTCTGCCTGCCTGCCTGGTCATGACACTGTTCCTCCCACATGTGTCTGCACACACCACCAGGCCAGGAAGAACCAAGACAACAGCTCACTGGTTGTGGTTGGACATTCAGGTCGCGGAGCAGAGGGAGACACACCATGGTTGAGTGCAGGTGCCCTGAACTCACCTCTGCCACAGAAAAGAATCAAGGCAGCAAAACCAAGACTGTATCTGAGGAGTGTAACTAAGGGAGAACTCTGGAAATCAGCAAGGGAGAGTCAGAGACAGCACAGGGACAGGAACAAAGCATAGAGCAGCATCAACTCCAGCTCCCTGGAAAAGGTAGGTGGAAAAAGAACAGCAGCAGCAGCAGCTCTACAGTGCTAACTGCAGAGTTCCACAGACCTCATAGGCTTTCCACCAGCTGGGGGGCCTGGCTGAGGTCCAAGCAACTGCTTTACTCCAAAGAAGGAACTCACATTGGCCCTCTCTGAGCCCAGGACCCAGGCTGCTACAACAGCCACTGCAAGGTGCCATTTGCCTGAAGGTCTGACCACCAGTCTGATGCCACTAAAAGCCTTAAGCCTATGAGTGTCAAGAGGTAAAAGACAGACCCACAGCGTCCTGCAGTCCCAGGAGAGAGGCTACAAGTACTTGTAGCCTTGCCTAGCCTCTCCCAGTGGGAACCGGGAAGATCTCCCTCACAGCTAGATGTGATGGCACACACCTGTAATCCCAGTGACTCAGGAGGTGAGGCAGGAAGACTGCAGTTCGAAGTCAGTCTCAGCAACTTCGCAAGGCCCTTAGTTATTCAGTGAGACCCTGTCTCAAAATGAAAAATAAAAAGGGCTGGGGATGCAGCTCAGTGGTAGTGCATCTCTGGGTTCAAATCCCTAATACCAAACAAAAATAAAACTCAAGGGGCTGGGGATATAGCTCAGTTGGTACAGTACTTGCATCATATGCGTAAGGCCCTGGGTTCAATCCCTAACATAATAAAAACAACAATAACAAAAACCCGAAGAAAACAAAACCCAACTATATAAAAAACTCACTTCATTGGTAAAGATACAGACTGAAAGTGAAATACTGTAAAAACATAAACCTTGCAAATGGAAAGTAAAATAAGCAAGAATAGCTACAGTAGTGTCAGATAAAGCAGATATAAAATAAACAACTATAAAAAGAGACAAGACGGGTACAGTGGCACACATCTGTAATCCCAAGAACTTGGGAGGCTGAGGCAGAAGGATCCTGAGTCCAAAGCAGCCACAGCAACTTAGCAAGGCCCTAAGCAATTTAGCAAGACCCTGTCTCAAAATAAAATATTAAAAAAGTGCTAGGGATGTGGCTCACTGGTTGAGTGCCCCTGGATTCAATCCCTGGTACCAAAAAAAAAAAAAAAAAAAAAGAAGTGGAAAATCTACAGTTACATGGAAAATGAACATGCTCCCAAATGAACAGTAGGTAACTGAAGAAATTAAAAGGTAAAATTTTAAATATTTTTCTTTTTCTTGCTTGTGTGTGTGTGTGTGTGTGTGTCTGTCTGTCTGTCTATCTGAGATTTAATCCAGAAGCACTGGACCACTGAGCCATATTCTCAGCCCTTTTTATTTTATTTATTTTTTTTATTTTGAGACAGGGTCTTGCTAAGTTGCTTAGGGCCTCACTAAGTTGTTGGCCTTGAATTTGTGAGCCTCCTGCCTCAGCCTCCCAAGTCACTGAGATTATAGGTGTGTACCACCACACCTGGCTCCAATTTTTCTTAAACTATTCCAAAAGTTGAAAAAGAGGAAACTCTGCTAATTTTTTTTTCTTTTATGAAACCAGCATTACCCTGTTACCAAAACCAGACAAAAATACAATTAAAAAAGAAAAATATAGACTAATGTCCTGGATGAATATAAATACAAAAATTCTCAATAAATCACTAGAAACCCAAATCCAACAGCACATGAAAAAAGATCATACACCATGATGAAGGGGGACTCATTCCAGAGGTACAAAGATGGTCTGACACTTATAAATCAATAAGCATTACCCAGCACACCAACAATAAAGTACAGAAACCATACGACAATTAAAAATACAGAAAAGGCACTCAAAAAGATCCAACTCCCCTCCTGATAAAGACTCAACAAAGTAGGTACAGAAGGAACACATCTCAGACTACTAAGGTCATATAAAAAAATCCACAGCCAATATTATATTGACTAGGAAAAAAACTGAAAGCGTTTCTTCTAAGATCTGGAATAAGACAAGGATGTCCACCATCACTACTCTTACTCAATACAGTACTAGAGGATCAGCAAAAGCAATTAGGGAAGAGAAAAAAGGCATTCAAATTGGAAGGAAGGAAGTCCAGTTATGTTCGCAGATGATATGAATTAGCGTAGAACCCCAGGTCTGCCAAGTACAGTGGTACACACCTGTAATCCCAGTGACTTAGGACACTGAGGCAGGAGGATCGCAAGTTTGACACCAGCCTCTGCAATTTAGCAAGGTTCTAGGCAACTTAGTAAGATCCTGTCTCACAATAAAAAATAAAAAGGACTGGGGGCATGGATCAGAGGATAAGTACACCTGGGTTCAATATCCAAATATAAAAACAAACAAACAAAAGGGGGGGGCAAGTAAGAAAGAAAACCCTATGTTTACAGGTTTAGCTCAGTGGGAGAGCACTTGCCTTGCATGTGTTAGGCACTGGGTTAGATCTCCAAACAAAACCCTAATGACCGTATCAAAAAGCTGTTAGAACTGATAAACAAATTCAGTAAAGTTTCAAAACTTAAAGTCCACATACAAAAATCAGTAACATTTTACATTCCGACAACAAGATTGCTGAAAAAGAAATCAAGAGAGCAATCTCATTCATAATACTTATAAGACAAGGATGAATTGGGGATAACTGTAACAAAGGAAGTCAAAGATCTCTACAAAGAAAATTATCAGACACTGTGAGAAATAGAAAGTCCAGTGGTCCACTTTCAGAATAATATTTAGCCTTAAATGTAAAACTGGGATTAAGAAAGGCAGCCAGAAGGGAAAGAAAGCAGAATGCAAAGACACACAATAGCACCACACCTATGGATATGGCAGATCCAAAGTCTATGCACCTGCATAGTCTCTTGCCAAACAGAAGGTGGGGGAAGGGGTCAGCCTAACTTACAGAGACAGAAATCTCTGTTAAGAAATAGTAATTTAGGGCCAGGCATGGTGGTTCATACCTATAGTACCAGCAACTCATGAGGCTGAGGTGGAAGGATCAGAAAGCCAGCCTCAGCAACTTAGTGAGGCCTTAAACAACTTGGCAAGACCGTCTCAAAATAAAAAATAAAAGGGGTTGGGGACATGTCTCAGTGGTTAAGTGCTTCTGGGTTAAATCCCCTGTACAAAAAAAAAAAAATAGAAATAGTAACTTGTTAAGGTCTGTAAAAAAGTCAAAACAACACCTGATATTTTGCCAGGGGAATGTTAGAGTTCATAAACAAGTCTGGATGGTGCCTGGCAAAATGCCAGAGGGAGTAATTTATGAAGTAACAAAATCGAGCCATTAAGTTTGGAGATTCCTTATTGGTTGACTGATGTATCTAGTTTATGCTAATTAAAATAAGCTATATGGAATGTATAAATAGCTCTGTTGTCCTACAATAAATGGCTCCCATTCCTGCTGTATCAAAGTCAGAAGTTATTCGTCACCCCCCCCCCCCCGGCAGTATTGGGCATCATGTAAAATTGTGGATGTGTAACCGACGTGATTCTGCAATCTGCATTTGGGGTAAAATTGGGAGTTCATAACCCACTTCAATCTAATGTATGAAATATGATATGTCAAGAGCTTTGTAATGTTGTGAACAACCAATAAAAAAAATTAAAAAATTAAAAAAAAAAAGAAGTAAAAGCTATACACATGTTAGAATGCATGCACCCCAAGAAGGCCTTCCCACCACAAGAGAACAAAGGGGGTAGGAACAGCTAAAAGTAGATTTCTTTAATTAACCCAATAGGAGATAGTAAAACTTAGGTGACATTGAGAAAGACTGTACATCCCATTGTACTCAGCCAGTGAGGAACTCGGGGAGGGACTTTGTGCACTAGGGGTAAAATGCTAGTTGTACCAAATCTGTGTGTTCTTGCTTGCCAGATTTTTTTGGTAGCACATCCTTCTACAGAAGTAAAGTTTACCTTGCTGAGTTAATTCTGAGCACGTGTTTGATTCCTCACAGCATCCGATATTTCTAACAGATACTGCTAAAAGAAATTATAGAGGACATACACAAAAGGGAAGATATTATATGTTCATGGGTTGGAAGGATATTATTAAAATGCTTATACTACCCAAAGTGACCTATAAGTTCAATGTAGTCTCCATAAAAATGCCAAAGGTATTCTTCACAGAAGTAGAAAAACAATCCTAAAATTCATATGGAACCATAGAAGACCCAGAATTGTGAAAATGAGCAAAACAAACAATAAAGCTAGAGGCATCATAATGTCTGACTTCGAAACATATTCTACAAGGATTGGGGATGTAGCTCAATGGTAGAGTATTTGCCTAGCACGTGGCAAGCCCTAGGTTCAATCCCTAGTACTGGAAAAACAAAAAACAAAAGTAAAATCATATTACAAAGCCATAGTAACCAAAGCATGGCATAAAAATGACACTCATACCTTTGGAACAGAATAGAGAACCCAGAAATTAATCCATGTATGCAAAGCCAATTCTCAACATAAGCTTGCAGAAGTACCCCACTTCCCCACCCCCGATGCAACCACAGTGTTCTGCCCAAGGTGAGAAGAGCCACCTGGCCCTCTCCTCTCCCTGACCCTAACCCTCTCCCCTCTCTTCCTTCCCACGGGGACGGGAGGGGGTGTTGCAGAGGCTTAATGCGCTTGGGACATGATTTGGTACCTCTGGTTTGTTTGATTGAAAGCTTTGGAGAATGAAAAACCATATTCTATTCTGAGTCCTTGTTCAGTGACTTCTTTATGACAGGCACTCATGGTTTGCCACATTTGTGCATCTGGGATTCTGGGGCATTGCTAAGGTTCATCCTGCTGAGTGGCCACCTCCTGTGCTTGGAGTCCCACTGACAGCAGTCTCCATCAAGTACTGTACAAGACAAGCTGAACAAATCAGAGTGACACAGCAGCTGGTCAGTTAGGGGTCTGAGGAGACTGTCACTGTGTCCTGAATTCTCTATGACTGGTAGGGCATCACCATACCCAGAACCTGCCACCTGGCTTTCATTTTTACCACGTGATCAGAGTTGGCCTCAGACAACAGGTAGCCACAGAAACAAACAAACTTGATGATGAAGATGAGAACAGGAAGAAGGCAAACTTTACATAATGGCATGCTCAACATACACAAAATTGAGGGGCCAGGTTAGAGCTAAATGAAAATTCCAACAAGTCTGCTCTTAAATAAATTTCAACTTCTCTGGTAATACAATTCATCCTAGGCTTTCTCTTAGCCATATTTCCCAGATATGAGCAAAGTACCAGAACACAGCTCTACCAGTTACTAATTCCTGAAATCAGGACACACTGCAAAAAAAGCTGATATACTAGATTTTGTCATCATCAAAAAATAAAATGAGTCTTAAGAGAAACACAGTTATCAGGGTTGAAGAAACCTTAGAAATAATCCCAGATCACAGATGGGACCTTGGTCCTACGGGGATCCTAAGCTAGCTCCCTAAGAACCTGTCCTTAGCCATACCAAAGGGAACCTCCTCATTAAAAATAAACAAAATACTTTTACTCTCACCCTAAGGAAGCCAGGAAGTTAACAACCTGATGTCACTGGAACATTGAGGAAATTTTCTCAGTTATAGAAGACATCTTTTCTTTCTGTATAGAAAGTAGTCTTGAATCTGAGGAAGAAGTGCCTCTAGCAGGACCACCCTCCCCACAGCTCCCAGCATACCCCAGGTCCACACAAAAGTTCTCCAACAGGATAAGCCTTTCCAATGTCTTAGTATCTCCCAACACATGGATAAATCACAGTGAATCCTGGGCAACAGGTCCCTGAATTTGGAAACATACACTGGAACCCTCCACTGTAGTGACTCAAGAGACAGGAGCAGCCAGACCCAGTGGCACATGCCTGTTATTCCAGCAATTCAGAAGGCTAGGGCAGAAAGATTGCAGAATAGCAAAAATGGTCCTGAGCAAAACAAACAACAAAGCCAGCCTCAGCCACTCAGTGAGACCCTATCTCAAAATAAAAAATGCTAGAGATGTAGCTCAGTGGTAAAGCACCTGAATTTTTCAATCCCATATTAAAAGTGGGCAGGGGCAGGTGCTGAAACATTTAGTGCTATAAACAACCTGCATGTACCCCAGTAAGTACAGTGGCCAAAGCACAAGCAAAGGTCACGAGTGTCACCCTCCACAAGCCAGTGGCACCACTTCTCAAAATTAGAGGAGGTTGAGCTACTTCAACTCAGCCATGTCCTCAAAGTCTAAGAAAAACACCAAAGGTGAAGAGCTCCATGCTTGAGTGTCAGTTGGCCCCTGAGGATGGCCTTGCCCTGTTGTTTCAGCTGAAAGGGGCTCCTTACTACCTGGTCACACCCATACATGTGGGGATGGGGTGATCATGGCTCATTAAATGGTTCAATGCCTGGGTACATGCAGGGAAAAAAAAAAACAAACTCACATTGGGTTCCTCCTACTATACTCAATAAAGATCACTTCTGACACCACATGTACAGTGGGTTTTCCTCCACACCCCATCCAGCTATCAGTTCTAAAGTGGACGGTTCTCTAACCCAACTCAATTCTGACACTGCCTGCTTGAGACAGGATCAGATCCCACAGGTTGAGGACTCAGTTTCCTAAGATGGTCCCCATTTCATTTCAATTGCCAGCCCAGGCAATTGAAATGAAATGGGGAGCCTTAACCTGTGCTCTGCCCCCAGCTATAGATCAGAATTCTATAACCCTCTCCCTGGGTTTGATCAGCTTGCTCAAGTGGTTCAATGAACTCTGGGAAACACTTGTGTAAGGTGTGGGGAAGAGGCCTCCATGCCCTCCTTGGTACCACCCTCCAGGAACCTCCCCACATTTACCTACCAGGAAGCTCTCAGAATCCTGTGCTTTTGGGTTTTCATGGAAGTTTCATTCCATGGGCTTCATTGATTAAATCACTGGCCATTGCTAATCAAATCAACCTTCAGCTCCTCTCCCTTCCCTGGAGGATAGGGATGGGGCTGAAATTCCCAACCTGGAACCTGCACTTGGTCTTTCAGTGATGAGTCCCATCCTGAAGCTACCTGGGGCTGCTGGCCAGCGGGAGCTCTTCAGCAGACAAAAATACTTTATCATTTCAGAGATTCCCAGGTTTCTTAGGAGTTGACTGCCAGAAAACAGAAAAAATATATATTTCATTCAATCACACTGCTACACACATTATGGAAAGTGAATAATTACCTGACCACAAGTGACTTCCTGAGCATATACCTCATGAAGGTAGTCCATGAGTGTGAAGTGAAATTGTTCACAAATTCCCCCAAAGAATTACCTTACCTAGCGTCAGAGAAAGCTTTCTGAGGCTCCTACTCAGCTCCTTCACTTTATCACAAACTTTATAACTTTGGAAAAGTGACCTCACCTACTGGTCCTCTGTTTACTCTCTCTGGTAAAATAACTAAAAGACTTCAGAACACCACCAGCAGTAAGACACTTTAAAATTCAGAGAAAAAGACAGAAAAATAAAAGATGAGGAAGCACTTGTCCTTATGTCCTTATGACATTATAGATAATAAATAGGAGAAAAGTATTCAAATGTGAAATATCAAGAAAGCAGCAAAAGGAAAAATGTGTGGCCACAGCTTTTCCTACCACAGATCTCCAGGGCACCTTTCCCAGAAAACCAAAGTAAATGGACACTAAGTGGAAGGACAGAAGTGAGAAAAAAACATTCCCACCATGCACCAGAAATCTTCCAAGCATGTACAAAACCTCCATGTCCTTCCTTGTCACCTCTTGCCCCTGACACACAATCACTCATGCAGACTTCTCAGGAAGGGGGTCCCTGCCCTCCTATAAGGCCAAGCCTTCCTCCTGAGCTCTCCATTCCAACACACTTCTCTCTAGCACCAACAACTGCATCTCCCCCGTACCCGGTTCTGCAAACTTGATCTGTTATAAGCCAAATGACAAGTACTTTAGATCTCACAGGCCATGGGTCTGCCATAGTCACTCACCTCTGCCACTGTAGAGGACAAATAGTCAGACAACACATCAAAACAAGGAGGTGGGTGTCCCAATACAACTTCATTTACAAACACGTGGCAGCCAGACATGCCCTGCAGTGTGCAGTCAGCCAGCCATTCCCTAGGTCACCTCATCAGTTCACAAACATGCTCTAAGATCTCCAACTTAAACACACACACAGCCATTTGCTGTAGCACACTCCTGTCATCCCAGTGACTCAGGAGGCTGAGACAGGAGGAACACAAGTTCAAGGCCAACCTGGGCAACTTAGCGAGACCCTATTTCAAAATAAAAAGGGCTGGGGATGTAGCTCAGTAGTAGAGTGCCCTTGGGTTTTACCCCCAGTACTAGAGAGGGAGAACCACACACACAGGTCTCCCTCAGATACCATCATCCAAGCCCCAGAAGAGACACTGCTTTCTGACCTCCCCCCACCAACACCTAAGTGCCTCCAGAATGCTCTTATTCCCATCACTCCCCCGACATATCAGTCACCAGTGGCCTCCAGATGGCCACCCAATGCCCATGCTTGTTCTTAACACTGCAAAATGCATTCCCCTACCTGACTCCCAGAAGTCTTCATGTCAGGACCTCCTGTACACTACTCCTGGTCTCAGGCATCCAAGTTGTATAGGCACCGGTTTTCTGTGTCTTTTCCTGGTCCTTCCACTCACACCTGCCTAACTGGACATGGCCTTTTCCTATTTAAAAAAAAAAAAAAATCCTCTCTTTGTCAAAAGAGCACGGATACCAGAGTCCTAGGCAGAGGCCTGATTCTGGGCATCCCACAAAACAAGTATGGCCACTTGCTAAAACCAAACAGAAAAGGTAATGGTGAAAACATGAAAGAAACTTTGTAGCAGCTACACGGAGAAGACAAGGGCACCCATGTCCTTAACCCTGTCTTGGGGGCTGATAATGACTTGAGGTTTTATACAAAGGGGAATGAAAACAAGGGTTGGGGATTTGCATAGCTGGAGGCTTTTTGAAGCTGCCAAGGCAGATGATGTTGATCAGGTGTAGTCTGTCCATCATAATCTCAGGATTGGTCAGTGGGGCCTTGTCCCAGATACGAAAAGTGCCATCTGGCGCATGCCTATACTCCCAACAACTCAGCAGGTTGTGAGGCAGGAGGATTGCAAGTTTGAAGCAAGGCTCGGCAACTTAACAAGGCACTGTCTCAAAAGATAAAGGACTGGGGATGTAGCTCAGAGATAAAGTGTGTTCAGTCCTAAGTACCCAAAATAGGGGGATGGGAGGGAGAGGGGGAGAGAGAGGGGAAGGGGGAAGGGAGGAGACAGAGAGATGTCAATGCTTTGACTCATCACAAGGTGTTTATCAGATCAGATCTTGTTCTGGAATCCAAGGTGACTTAAAGCAAAGGAGATGGATGCAAAATTCAGGCAAAGGGCCCAAGTCTTCAGTCTTGCTTTTAGCCACCCATCAAACATTAGCAGGCAAAAGTGAAGAGTCAAGGTCCTTGTTACAGAACCATGGCACTAAATGTCACTTCAATCAATGCTCATTCTACTTAATGTACCTATTAAGCCCTAAATTTTCTAGGCCTCAACTCAAATATCTGGTAGGCTTTGGGCATCTCCATACCACACCTACCAAGCAACAGTTGACAAGCCCCACTATCAGCTCCTCATTTGGCCACTTGCTGGGCACAGCCAATCCATAACTAAGAAGTACCTCCTACCTGACTAGCCCCCAGAGAAGTGCTCTTCTCATAAAGACTTCACTGGACTCAAGTTTCCCTAGATTCCTCTCTTCCTCATCCTCCTGAACAATCCATCATAAATCCTGGCAGCGTTCCACTGTTCTCCATCTCCTAATCCACACCTCTCCAAGGAAGGGCCATCATCCACCGGAATAAATCCTCAGCTGACCTCCCAATTTCATCCTGACCCCACCACCTGTTCTCTGCCCAGCAACCAATAAAACAGAATTATGAAAAGTGACTCTTCTGCCCAAATCCCTTCCCAACGTAGAACAGGGATGTAGCTCAGTGGTAGAGCACATGCCTAACACCAGCAAAGCCCCAGGTTCCATCTCTAGCACCCCTGTCACTGAAAAAGAAACAACCACAAAAACAAAAACACCTTTCCCAGTGTACTTGGAGTAAGTCCAACTCCTCACCACAGCCAAATGCATTCTGCAGCTTAATTCTGCTGCCCTTTCCACTAGCTATTCTCTCTGGAAATGAATGACACTTTTCACTTCAGGCCTCTGCTCAAATGGCACCTGAGCCCTTCCTAATTAATCCCCTGAACCTAGCAAAGCTTTCCCACACTCCAGAGCTTGTTCACATTTACAATGCTGTCAACTAAAGTCTGCACACAAGAGAAAGAGAACACTACAGCTAACAGGCCCCCATGCATGTGTGCTGAATGAGCCACATCCCACCACATGGAAATAAGGACTCTATCCATTCCCTCGCACACTGCCTAGCTTTCTGGTGATGCTCCATTCCCAGAGTCATCATTGGGATGCTGCCTACTGCAAGCTGGAACAGCCTACACAGCACCAACATGAACCTGAAGACTTGCATTAACCCTGCGTGTACAACACAGATCTAGCATGGGAAGTCACGGCATGAAGCTCTGGGGTGTCTGGGGCTAATATATCCAAGTGACGCTCTTGGGGAACAAGTACTTGGTCACACGGCCAGCACTACTAACATCATGGTTGGCATAATGCATGTCTTTCAGCATTTCCATCATACAGGAGCCCAAGTGAGACTCAACAGTAAGTAAACACCCTATTTTTAGTTCATTTCCAAAGTAGCAGAGCTGGAGACATTTTACACACCTCCCACTACCTCCAAATTTCAAGGCTGGAAGAGAAAACAGAGGGGCAGTGTATGTGGTGGGGCAGTGCAGCTGGCTTTTTCCCATTACCTGTCCTCCCACTCTGCAGTATATCCTCTTTCCACTCCCTCAGAGGTTCCCAGCCCCACCCTGGAAGGCTCAGTCATGCTGTCCGAGGGCATTTCAACCCAACACCATGGCCTACTCACAGTGCATGTGCTAGCTTTTCAGAGAGAGCTGATTGTGTGCTGTTTCCACTGCGCTTCCTCCAAAACACTAACTTCAACCCCTTTCCTATTGCTCTTTCAGGGATGGCACTACCCAAGAGAGTCAAGTACTGTAAGTGTGAGTGGGGCCAAAGGATGTGCATCACTAGCTGGTTCCTGGCTCTGCCAGGGAACTTCAGTGACATATACCTGTATTCCAGACCTCTCTTCCCTCCTACATGTACAACAGTGCTCACATTAACACCAGAGGGCCACCATGTGGATAAAGGGAAATATGGCAACAAATATCTGGCTCAAGAGTTCAAGGTCCTATACACAACAGTGAATCTCACCATTGCGTACATCCACAGACTTGGATCCTAAGTAAAATTACATATTTTCATAATTATATCAAAATGGATTCTTTTGTCATGTATAACTAAAAAGAACCAATAAAAAAAGTTTAAGGTCCTAGACATGTGGATAAGAACTTAATTGTCCCCAGAGATCTTGGGGTATATGTTGATGTGCTGGCCCTGACCTCCTCTTTCTCAGAGAACTTGGTCTCAGGCACAGAAATTCAGCCTGGGAAATGCTTATCTGAATTTCAAACTGTGTGTGGAAAAAACAAACAACACGTTCTGCCAGGCATGGGGGGGCATGCAGGTAAATGATCTCAGTGACTCTGGAGGCAGAGGCAGGAGGAGCACAAACAAGTTCAAGGTCAGCCTGGGCAACTGAGCGAGACTGTCTCAAAATAATAAAATAAAAAATAGAACAAGCGGCCTTACCTCTGCTCTCACACCACAATCAACACAGGAGACTTCTGTGACCCCAAAAACTATAAAGGTTTTGCCCCACCAGCAAGTGAGCAATTCTGCAACAAGGGTCACCAACAGGACATACTCTACTTTGATCCAATTCTGATTCAGCCTGGAGATAGCATCAGATCCTAGTTTGAGAGCTCAGTCTTCAAGATGCCAATCACAAGCCCCAGGCTGTCTTGCCTGTGCTTCTGACAGACTCCCATACATAACCATAACCCCTTTTTGGATTGGATTTCCTCAAATGGCTCAAAGAACTAGGGAACTACTTACTTACATTCACTGGCTTATCATAAAAGACAATACAAAGAATACAGATGAAGAGATATGTAAGAGGCATAGGGAATGGGTACAGGCTTCTACACCCTACCTGTGCACCACCTTCCAGGTACCTCCCTCTATGCGGCTACCTGGAAACTCTCTGAACCCTTTCCTTTCCAGTTGTTATGGAGACTATAGAACAGGCCTGACTGCTAATAGAAAGGGTGAGGAAACCCAGTAAGCCCATCTATTCAGATTATTTTTGACATCTTCAAGAAATTCTAGTTTCTATGGTTTGCCCTGTGAAGGGAATTATAAGCCAGGAACCATGGATAAAAAACAAAAAGCTGGGCGTGGTGGTACATGTCTGTAATCCCAGAGGTTTGGACGGCTAAGGCAGGAGGATCACAAGTTCAAAGCCAGGTACAGCAGCAAGGCCCCACAAAACTCAGTGAGACACTGTCTCTAAATAAAATATGAAACAGGGCTAGGAATGTGGCTCAGTGGTTGAGCATCCCAGGTTCAATCCTTGATTCCCCAGTAGAACAGAACTGTATTTATTTTTATGTGTGTGTGTGTGTGTGTGTGTGTATATATATATATATATATCAATACACATACCAGTGCATTTTTGTAGTATCCTTTATAATAAATTAGTAAATGTTTAACTAATTTATTATAAATGTTAACTTGAGCAAAAAAATCAAAATTGAGGAGGGGTTATTGGGAATGCTGATTTATAACTGGTGGGTCAGAAGCCCAGATGAGTCAATCTGGGCTTGTGAGGTGAGGTGGCAGGGCAGAAACTGATAACTACATAAAATATGCTGTTAACCTGAAATAAGTCTCCCAGAAAAAAAAAAAAAAAGGGAGAAAGGGGGCTAAATGAGTGAATTCACACATGCCTAGAAACACAGGCTCTATACCAGAAAAATTTTAAATGGTCAACTGTGGATGGGCTTATGATTGAGTCTCTTTCCATTTTAACTTCTGTGTACATTTCCATTTCCTACCATGGCCTAGCCCACAATGACATCCATGGTAGGGGACAGACAGAAGCAACTGGTGGTAACACAAGGGTAACTGCATATTTTATGCAGGTATTATTCCATGGGGTGTGTGTGTGTATATATATATTTTATTTATATATATATATATTATATATATATAAAATATCACACATACTTTCCTCATGAGGCAAATTCTGTGATAAATCATACTTCTCACATACTGAGACAATTATAAACACTCTGCACCCCACTTTTCCCATTGGCCTCCCCAGTCTGCATGCACAAGTGAAATCAAATACCCAAAGGACATTTAATAAACACATGGAAAGATCGTAGTTTGTTGTTAAGTTTTTTGAAAACTATATATACATATATAGAGTGTTAAGAGAAATTTGTATGTGCACATGTGTGCAAAACACAAAACTCAAAATTGGTTTCCCCTATACTCTAACAACACACTTTGACACATGTATGGGAGTTTCACAGACACACACACAATAGGAAGCAAACAATTCAGCATTTCAGCAGAGGACACAAGTTGGATGTTCCCTAATTCAACTCAATTCTGATATTGTATGCTTGAGACAGGATCAAATCCCACAGACTGAGGGCTGTCCCTCCACCACTCCCCAGCCCTTTTTGCCTCCCCATTCCACCTCACAAGCCCAGATTGACTCACCTGGGCTTCTGATCCACCAGTTATAAATCAGTATTCCCAATAACTCCTCCTCAATTTAGATTTATTTGCTCAAGTGTTTCAGAGAACTCAGGGAAATACTTGCATTTACTATTTTATTATAAAGGATACTACAAAGAACACAGATGAAAAAGAACACAGATGAAGATGATTTTATATATAGAGAGAGGGGGGCGGTATAGGTAGGTAGGTGGGGGTAAGGTATGGAAAGAGGCCTCTCCCTGGGCACCACCCTCCAGGAACCTCCCCACATTTACCTACCAGGAAGCTCTCAGAACCCCGTGCTTTGGGGTTTTATGTAGGTATCATTCCATGGGCTTGATGGATAAAATCATTGTCACTACTGATCAACACAGCCTTTAGTCCCTCTCACCTCCCTGGAAACTGGGGCTGGGGCGTAAATTCACAATTTACAGTCAGTCTTTCATTGACAAGCCCCATCCTAAAGCCACCTGAGGCTGCTGGCCAGCAAGGGGCTCAACAGCAGACAAAACATTCATTTCTTCAGATATCCAGGAAAGAGAATGAAAACACATACACAACATAACATTATGCCTACATAAGAAGATACTAGGGGAAGAAAAAAGGGAGAAAGGAAGGGGGCTAAATGAGTGAACGCAACCGTGCCTGGAAACACAGGCTCTATATCAGAGAATTTTAAAATGGTCATCTGTGGATGGGCTTATGACTGAGTCTTTCTCTCCATTTTAATTTCTGTGTACATTCCCATTTCCTACCATGGCCTAGCCTACAGTAATGGCATCCACGGTAGAGGACAGACAGAAGCAACTGGTGGTAACACAAAAGTTAAGGGAGTAATTCCATAAAAATGGGCCCATTGTGCTGCATGTTACCTAAGGGAGAAATGCAAGTTTGAAATAATGTCTCTCAAAGGAATCCAAGTTACTCTGAAAGAGGAGATTTTTGTGACCCTTTCCACAGACCAGATCCTGGAACTCAGGGAGATAAAGGATAGTTCCTCCTAACCATAAAACCTGTAAGAATTTAGAGTTAAGAATCCATGGGCCAGGGGGTTGTGGCTCAGCAGTAGAGCTCTTCCAGCATGTGCAAGACGCTGGGTTCCATCTTCGGCACCACATAAAAACAAATAAATAAATGTCCAACTACAACTTAAAAAAAAAAAAAAGAATCCACAGGCCAAGGTGACAGAGTTGTCATGACAGCGGGGACCCGAAAGTAAAGTCCGATGTCATCCTGCTGTCAAGTCAAGGGGGGGATTCCCTAGAAACTTCACTGTGATCCCCAATAAAATGGAGTGCAGAAGAGGCACGCTGTCCCTCTCTTGAGAGGACCTACTCTCTCCCTTGAGTGTCCCCTTTACCCTTTCCTATCCCTTCACTAAACTCATGCATGTTACTCGGAAAGACATGTCTGAAACCTTTGATTTGACAGGGTTTGAAGGGGTGCGCGTGCGGGGTCAGTTTCCTGAAAGGCCCCAGCCCAGTAACCTCCATCCCCAGGGGTGGTGGCCACACCTGTAATCCCAAGTAACTCAGGAGACTCGGAGAGGAGGACAGCAACTTCGAGGCCAACTCGGCAAAACTCCGTCACAGACATTTTTAAAAGGGACTGGGACTAAGGCTCAGTAGTACAGCCCCCGGGTCCAATCCCCAGGGCCGGAGGAAGAACCAGCCTCCACGCCGTGCCCACGGGAACTGAGGCCACCAGCACCGGGCCGCAGCACGCCGGCCCCCAACCTGCCCGCGACTCAGTCGGCCGCCCTTACCGCTCCACCTGGAAGCAGCCCCCAGGCTCCTCCAGCCTCCCGAGCCTCCTGCTCTTTCGGGACAAATGGTCCTCTCCTTCCAAAGGGCCCCCTCAACGACCCCGGCCCGGTCTCCCTCCGTCCGGCCGCCCCCTCAGGCCCCCATCGCCCCTCCGCGCCCCGCCGCCCCCAGGAGACCCCTAGGGGCTCTGGGTAAAGAAAGGCTCAAACTCGTCACCGCGTCAGCAACGACGGCCGGGCTATCCCGGGGCTGGGCAGGAGCCTACCGGGCCGCAGCCGAGTGCCAAGTCCGCCGGGTTTAACCGGACCCGGAAGCGACCTTCAGCGGCAGCTGGTCAGCTGTGAGGCGAAGAAGTCTGCGCTTGCGCGGAGAGCGGCAGTGTGCCGGGCGCATGCGCGCAAGGCGGAAGCGTGCGGCGCCTTGGCCAGAGGTCCGGGCGGAACGCGGCGCCACCGAATCTTGGTTCCGGCCCCTGTCTTGCAGTTTCCACCTCGCGGAGATCTGGGCGACTTCTCTGCCTCTGCTTTCCTTGGGGAGTGTAAGTCCGAGCCTGGACCTCCGCCGCAGCCGATGGACCGCGAGACGCGCGCCTTTGCCGAGCAGCACTTTCGGGACCTCGGGGGCCAGCTCTATGGCGGCGGCGGGCAGGCGCCGAGCGGAGTGGCCTTCATCAAGGAACCCGCCACCTTCTCCTACGCCGACTTCGTGAAGGCATTCCTCCTGCCCAACCGGCCCTGCGTGTTCTCCAGCGCCTTCACCGAGAACTGGGGCAGCCGGCGGCGCTGGGTGACGCCCGAGGGGAAGCCCGACTTCGAGTATTTGCTGCAGAAGTACGGTGAGGAAGAGCGCCGGGGACACAGGGAGAGCCAGACCCTGGACAGCCGGGGACACAGAGAGGGCCAGACCCGGGACAGCCGGGACACAGGGAGGGCCAGACCCAGGACAGCCGGGGACACAGGAAGGGCTGATATACCTAGCCTAGTTCTCTCATTAGATCAGAAGCCAGCTTGTCACAAGTTATGAAGGATTCATTTCTGGTTTCTGTAAAAATATTAGGATGTCTGTATGGCCTAGCCATTAGTTGATGTTGTAAAGCTGATTGGAATGCCTGCCCGTGCCCTGAACTCACCCATGTCGGGTTTTCCCTGACCAGATAACAACCCTTTCCTAAACCTTAGTGACGCCTCATAAATTCTGGCCTTCCCTGGCGGGATAACGACCCTCTCTGAGTCTCTAAGATCTCCATAAATTCTGATGCCGGGGCCAGCAAAAATGTAAACTTGTGTTATGCTCCTCACAGTGTTGTTATCTGTAACCCCCCCTTTGTGTAACTTTTTGGGCTATAAAACTGGGCTGCAAAGAAGCCTCGCCGCTGCCCTTGGCTCCCACGATTTTGATGGGCAAGACAGCCTGGCCGGTGGAAATAATAAGCTTGCTTTAATTTTATTTTAATTGGAGTCAGTGGTCATTTCTTGCATCCTGGTCTAACAGGGCCAGACTCAGGGACAGCCGGGGACACTGGGAGGGCCAGACCCAGGGACAGCCGGGGACACAGGGAGGGCCAGGACAGAGCTCCTACCACACACGGGGCCCAGGGACACCGGACTGAGGTGGGGAAGGATACAGGATGTATTCCAGACCACAGCTCAGGTGGGTGGGGCAATAAGGTGTCCAGAACCCAGAGAGCACAGGAACAGCCCACACCAGACAAGCAAAGAGAGCCAGGATGAAGCTCAGGCCCCCAGGGCGATCCAGGACAGAGAAGGAGACATGGGAGCTCAGCTGAACTACAGAAAGGCATCGTGGAGGGTAGGGAGGGAATGGAGTCTGGTCTCCTGGGGAATTCTCCTGCAGCTGGTTTGGAGGGGGGCCTGCGTTCAGAACTCGCAGCCAAGTCTGTCTCGCTGTCTCACTTCAGGAGATGTGGTTGTACCAGTTGCCAACTGTGGGGTCCAGGAGTACAACTCGAACCCCAAAGAGCACATGCCCCTCCGCGAGTATATCAGCTACTGGCTGGAGTATGTCCAGAGGGGCTGCTCCTCACCCCGGGGCTGCCTCTATCTCAAGGACTGGCACGTGTGCAGGTAAGGGGAATGCTGGCCATGGGGCACCTCCCTAGAACTATGCCTCCCAAGGCCTTTTTGACAGGGTGCCTGCTGCTCCAGCAGAGTTCCAGCCTATGTCTCCAATGTGGTGGGAAGGTCAGCTCCTCACCAGGCCTGTGCAGTGCTGGCCACCACAAAGAACATGGGCTTTTTGTGGGCACAGGTGGGCTGTGGTCTCATCCCTTTTCTTTATTATTTTCCCAGCTTCCTTAAGAGGATCCCCTGGGACTGGCATTTTCTCTACCCCAGTGAGGAGGCCAGGTCTCTACCTGGAATATGCAATGGTCTTTAATGTCTTCCTGCCTCCTTGCTGGTCTCTCCAAAGGAGGAGGCCTACCTCACCTTAAAAATGACCCCACCCCAGCCTCCAGGCACTATGTACAGATGAACAGAATTATTATTATTTTTTTTTTTGTAGTGCTGGGTATCAAACCCACGACCTTCTGCATTCAAGGCAAGCACTCTACCAACTGAGCTATAACCCCAGCCCTGATAGGATTTTTAGCCTTGGGCAAGAGTGATCTGCATTCAATAGAAATTAAAGAGAATGGACTCTCCTTTCCCCAGGCTAACAGTATGTGGTCTGATCCATAGTTCCCAGTAAGCTTCACATTCCAATAGAGAGCACTCATCATTCTACAGTGTCTTCAGTGTGCTGTGTTACTCAGCAATGATGTTTGTTCAATTAATGATATTGTTTTGTTGTTGTTGTTGTTGTTTCTTGGTGCTGGGGATTGAATCCAGGGTTTTGCACATGCCAAGCATACCGTATTAATGTATTTTTAATTTATGGTATTTTCAACATGGACATATGAGAATATGAGCCCATTGTAAGCTGAGAGGCATCTATAATTCATCTGAAAAGCTTAACCCACCCCAAGACCCAGACACACAGTGTTCACTCTGGGAAGCATATACATACCTCTCCAAGGTGGTCCTGGGATTTTGTGTCCCTTGCTGGGTATGCCTTTCACAAGAAAAGGCTATTATGCTCATACCCTCAGCAGTGGGTACATTGTGGGGCTCAGGTAATGTTGAATGAACCTGGGAACAAATTCCTGGGTCACTTTGTGCAAACTAAAGCTCAGAGCAATGGAGTGAGGCCCTTGCAGTTCCCACCAGGTCACGAGAAGCACCAGGCCCAACTCACCCCATCACTCTGCTGCTTGCTTGGAGAGTGGGCCAGGTTCAGCCAGAGGCTGGTCCTGGCCCACAGGCATCGCTTGAACCAGCAGTGCAGACAGACACAGACCCAGGCGTGGTTGTGCACTATGCTTGAGGTACTAGGTAAACAGATGGGTCTTGATCATTTGCTAAGTGTTTCTCAAATATTGCATGTGACATACGTATGCTAGAAAATTGTTCATTGTGTATTTGGAATTCAACTTTTGACTTTCCTGAATTTTATCTGACAGGTCCAAACAAAAAGGGCAGAGGAAGACATGGGGTCCTACAGTCAGGAGGACACAGGGAGAGACACCTGAGCAGGATCTTTGTGGATGAGCAGACTTTGCTGGAAGCTCAGAGGCATGCTAGGCAGAGGGACCCTTGTGTGTTTTGGGACCTGTACATGGTTGTTGCTGCACATGCCCTGCTCTGTCATCATCTGACCAGCAGTTATGTGCGCTTGAGTCCAGAATTTTTTTCCAGCACAGTGTTGAGAGGGTCCATGGATAGCCCTTCTGCCTGGGCCTGCCACTTAGAATCTACTAGGCAAAATGTGGTCTGCTGGTACTGGTGAAAAGTGAAAGAGGGCCCCCAATTCAGGAGTTGGGAGGATGCCCACACAGCACCAGAACCCCTAGCACAGGCACACACCAGAGCTCTGGGTCTGAGGGAGAGTGCCCACTGCTTGTATGGGTCAGTTGTGCTTTGTCACAGGCCACCCCCAAAGCCACCTTCCACCTTGCAGTTCTGGGCTCAGCAGTTTGAGGGGTTCAACTCAGGTTTCTCAGGGCTATCACTGTCCAGTAGATCCAGGAAGACTGGGACTCTTCAGCCTCTTGGCTCTCCACAGGGACTCATCTGCAGAGGACTTGGGGGACGTGTTCACCTTGCCTGTGTACTTCTCCTCTGACTGGCTGAATGAGTTCTGGGATGCCCTGGATGTGGATGACTACCGCTTCGTCTATGCAGGGCCCCCGGGCACCTGGTAAGGCTGAGTCAGAGCTGTGGCTGCCCCACTCTGCTTGGAAGCCCATCAGAAGCAAGGCCAACCCTGGAAACTGCAAGGCACCAACAGTGAGCTCTTACCACAGGTCACCCTTCCATGCTGACATCTTCCGCTCCTTCAGCTGGTCCGCCAACATCTGCGGGAGGAAGAAGTGGTTATTCTTTCCACCGGGGCAGGAGGAGGCGCTGCGAGACTGCCATGGTAGCCTGCCCTATGATGTGACTTCCCCCAAACTCTTGGACACACGCCTGCACCCTATGCTCCAGCACAGCAGCCCACCTCTCGAAGTCACACAGGAGGCTGGCGAAGTGGTTTTTGTGCCCAGTGGGTGGCACCACCAAGTGCACAATCTGGTAAGGTGGGCTTAGGCAGCCCAGCCCTCTGCCCACCTGGTTCCTGTCTAGCTGCTTTTCCACAGAAAGGCAGCAGAGCACCCCATGCTATGGATGAAGCTGCAGAGGTCCCAGCCCCTGGTTCCATTCCCTGCCCAATTCCTGCCCTGAGGAGTGCGCTCCTCAAACCCTTGCTGTGCTGATGCTGCCTGGAGGTGGGAGTGGCCTTTCCCGGCTGAATAGGCATGTTGAGGCCCCCTGCCCAGGGCCTGATATGGGCTATGGGACATTGCCTCTGCTTTGGGCTCAGCCAGCCTGCTCCTGCCCTCCAGGATGACACCATTTCCATCAACCACAATTGGGTCAATGGCTGCAACCTGGCCAACATGTGGCACTTCCTGCAGCAGGAGCTCCGGGCTGTACAGCAGGAGGTCCATGAATGGAGGGACTCCATGCCTGACTGGCATCACCACTGCCAGGTGGGTGCCCATATGGGCTCAGTCTGGGGACTGGGGCAGACACGAGGGCCAGGTTGCATGACTCAGAGTCCATCAGTCACCATCTGGCCTCAGCATCTGTGCCTCATGGCTACTGTGTTATTCCCTGAGAACTGCTTGTTAGGGTGCTGTACAGACATGGGTGTGACCACAAGCTCACTGTCTTTTCCTCTGTGGCCCAGGTCATCATGAGATCCTGCTCAGGGATCAATTTTGAAGAATTTTACCACTTCCTCAAGGTCATCGCTGAGAGGAGACTTCTTGTCCTAGGGCAGGGGTCGGAAGCAGCTCAAGAGGAAAACATAGGCCTAGGGCTGGGCTTCCAGCAGGCTGCATTTGATGTTGGCCGTCTTGCAGAGGTGCTGGCCTCTGTGGTCATACACCCTGACTTCCAGAGAGTGGACACCAGCACATTTTCCCCAGGGCCTGAGGAGCTGCTGTGTCAGCTACAGGATGCTGTGGCTGCTACTACCACCCTGTAGTTCCTGTGGGAGTTCACACGGGGGCACCAGCACAGGGTAGCCTTCTCCTCCAGGACTTTCTTGGAATACAAGCCATCCTCATCTTTATGGCCTGGGGTGTGATCTTGCTGAGCAGAAGCAACCTCCTGGAAGGTCTGATGTGGCCATCTCCCCAAGGTCTTGACTATGGGTCTGGGGAGGCCCAGCCACAATGAGAGCACAATACTCTGAGATAGGCTGGGGGGTATCCCTCCAACTTGCCTGTAGCAAAGTCTGCCAGGAACTTGGATGGTGGCCATGTGAGCAGGTTTCCGTGGATCTCCCAGCACCTCCTAGTGAAGCCTGGGCTGCTAAGTGATGAGTGTCCCATCTGTCTGCCTTAGGGTCTCCCCTTTCTGACCTGGCCCATCCCATCCCCTGATTCCTGGGACACATGCAGTAAGCCTCCCTCCATTCCAGCCTTACCCTCTGGCTGTGCTTCAGGGGCTCCTATCTCCAGCGAGGCCAGGAGTTGGGCACTGAGTGACAGGTTGAAGCCAGCTTCTTGAGCTGGTCATCATTCACCATGTCCAGAGGCAAAGGGTTAGGTGGCTGAGAAACCAGGCACTGGCCCAGCCAAGTGCCCAGAGTGGAGGATGTGATGCAGGAGGAGGGCTTTCCTTTTCCATAGCACCTCTGAGAGGCCTGGGCTGTGGTGCCTGCCCAGTCCCGCCCACAGACTGCCCTGGTAGGGTTGGGCTGCAAACAGAGCAGGAGCTGAGGGAACACCTCTCCATGGCTCCCTCTGGTAGTCCAGGAGCCTGACACAGTCCTCTGTTCCTGGGCCCTGGCGGGGTGGTGCTGGCTCTGTTTATCATATTCACTGCAAATGGTAGGTGCTTTCTGTGCATGGAGAAGGGGAACAGGCAAGCCACCCGACCTGGCCCACATGGCCCTCCAATACCCTGTGTCTGGCCACCTGTTGTCCACTCTGTGATCTCTTTCCTGGTGCTTTTCTTGGGAGTGCTGGGCATACCTGAGGGCAGAGGAGTGAGATCAGTGTGACCCAGTTGCTCTCTCTGGGCCTTGGCCTTGGCCCAGACATGTGTGTACATAGGGCTGGAATGGAATGGACTCACAGGGCCCCCCCAGAGCCCCAACTCACTCCACAGGGCACCTGGGACCCCCAGCTCTGCTAAGCCTCAGCCCCTCCCTTGTGACACAGCCTCTCACAATCTCAGGTGTTCCCATCAGAACTGGGAAGGATGTGTCTGCCCAAGAGGGCAGCAGAACACATCTTAGACACTACCTGCTGTGATGTCCAGTGGGATTGGAATAGCCTCATCTAGAATGGAAGCCCAGGAGAGCAGGGACTTGTTTTGTCCAATAAATTATCACATAGTAAGTGCCTTGTGTGTCACTTGAGGCCCCAGCCAGCACCTTCCCAGCTACCTAGGATGGCCTGACCACACTGCCAATGCTGAGTCTGAGGAATTGCAGATCTTTCTACCAATAGAAAGGAGCTTTGCCCAAACCCAAGTTCCCAAAAGCTGAGTCTGGGGCTTCGTGGTTGGGATGAATAGAGGCCTTACTACAGGGCTGACACTGGAAATTACCCTTTTTTCCCTGTGGTAACCCTTGACTGTGGTCTTCCTGTTGACACGTTTTCAGAGGCTTGGAGCATTGCACTCATGTGGCCACGCTGAAGTGCAGTGAAAATGGGGAGGAATGATTGCCATTAGGAAGGCGGGCTTCAGAGCCCCACCATCCTGCCTACCTGCCCTGACTGTCCACAGGGAACAGGTCCTACCTCAGGGGTACCACCAAGGTGCTGCTGAAACTCAGCCCAGGCCTCATGCCTCTACCCCAGGAGACACGTGTACAGTGTTAGGAGTACAAGTGCAGTTACTTGCTTGGTGCCTTTAGGCCATTTGCTCACAAGTAGGGAAACCACCGTCATAACTGGCACTACAAGCTTCGTCCTGTCAACAGCAGGCGCAACAGGGAAGCATTAACAGCAAAGCAAATCAAGTTCTTGTGCTGAATTTGAACTGATAAAACTTTTTTTTAGCTGTATCAGTTTTATCTAATCAAATAAAACCCAATTTGTCTTTAAAAATCATTCTGTCAGAGATTTGCATTAGAGAGTGTTAGCTAGAGTATGCAAACCAAGGTGTTGCCATTTGGGCAGAAAACTCATCATCACATTTTATAACATCTTTAGAGTGTTTTTCAAAAGGTATATTCCACAGAACTGTAAAAATTTTGAATGTAGACTATAAGAGTTAATGCTTATATACCAGTTAGGAACATAATGTGTTTCTGCATACATGTATACACATTATCATGTCTTACATTTGCAAACTAGATTGTGTAAACAGTATAACTGAGAAAACCTGAAAAAAAGCTAGTCATTAAAATCTTTAAATTCTTGAGGTGGAAGATGGACAAAACAAAAGATGCCTCTAAACTATAGACATGACTGATGGTACTTAAGATGCATAAAGTCCTATTACATAAAGAGCAAGACACAGCAGGACAATTTAGTTACCTCTGTTGGCTTTTTCATCACTGATCAAATTGCCTGACAAGAACAACTTGGGAGGCAAGATTTGTTTGGGCTCACAGTTCAGAGGTCCTCAGAGAGCCAAGTCCATTGCAGGATCATGGTAGCAGGAAAGCAGAATGGAAGAGGCTTTCCAGGGCTCCCCCAGTGACCTACTTCCTTCCTCTAACTAGGTCCCACCTCCCAGTTCTTCATCCAGTTTTCAGATTAATCCATCAATGGATTAATCCAGTGCTAAGGTTAGAGCCCTTAGAATCCAATAGCTGCCTAACCTCCCTCCCCACCCCCCCACCAGTGGTAGTGCTGGGGTTTGAACCCAGGGCCTTGTGCATGCGAGGCCACTCTACCAACTGAGCTACATCCCCAACCCCAGGACCCATACTTTTAACCCTTGAGCTTCTGGGCTGTTATTGCAGATCTGCAGCATAACAATGACCTTCATTTACAGCATTATATGTGGACTATCAGATTTTAAAATTACTATTAGTAGTACAAGGGATTGAACCCAGCATGCTTATCTACTGAGCCTTATCCCAAGTCCTTTTTTGTGTTTTATTTTGAGACAGGGTCTTGCAGAGTTGCTCAAGGGCTCGCTGATGAGGCTGGGTTTGAACTTACAATCCTCTTGCCTCAGTCTCCTGAGCCACTGGGATATTACAAGTATGGACTATCAGATTTTAAAGCTTTAGAATATATCAATAGTTTCATTGTGAAAATAGTTGATTTAACCAGAGTTATAAACCAAAAAGAGACTTTAGGACAAATATTTGAATTAAACCTAGCTAAGGACTTAATTTTCATAACCAATCAAAAACTTATCAGCAGAAAACAGGAAATTGTTGTGATAAAATCTTTATTCTTGGGCTGGGGTTGTGGCTCAGTGGTAGAACACTCACCTAGCATGTTCGAGGCCCTGGGTTCGAACCTCGACACCACATAAAACTAAACAAATAAAGGTATTGTGTCCACCTATAACTAAAATATAAATATTTTAAAAATTAATCTTTGTTCTTTAAACCATTTCTTTATAAACTTTGCTAAAGCAGATCAGTATTTTTAAAAATCCTTATAGTTTTAAATATGAAGTATGAGATTCTGGTTTCTTGTCTGTGCATTATATATACATTTTTCCTTAATCACACTTTCGAAGAATATTTACATGTTTTTATGAAAGATGTGAGTATCATATTGCTTTAATAGTTTCTGTTTACAACAATGTCAGTTTTCTGTGTCATCATTGTGGGCAATGCCAAGCTGCTGGATCCTCCCTATAAATGCTATTTAAGTTACTCTAAGGTTGCCGGGCATGGTAGGGCATGTCTGTAATCCCAGCAGCTTGGGAGGTCAAGGCAGGAGGATCTGAAGTTCAAAGCCAGCTTCAGCAAAAGTGAGGCCCTAAGCATCTCAGTGAGACCCTGTTTCTAAATAAAATACAAAATAGGACTATTTGGGATGTGGCTCAGTGGTTGAATTTCCTGGAGTTCAATCTCTGGTACAAAAAAAAAAAAAGGCACAGAGTCTCTGATTTGATATCAAGCTCCTTGATCCATTTAGAGTTAACTTTTG